GGACAGTTTATAGAGTCTTGTCGGACCATAAAGGAGCTAACCGGAATCAATGTCGGGACAGTTTACAAAGTCTTTGTCGGCCCTTAAAAGTCGCACCCAGAAGGTGTGACCTTTTTTTATCAAAAGGCGTGCCATCAAAAGGCGTGCCCCAATTCATCAAAAGGCGTGCCATCAAAAGGCGTGCCATCAAAGGTGTGTCCAGGTTGGCGTCGAGCGGCCGAGCGGCGCATGATGCGCGTGGCTGCCTGGCTATTTAACCCAAGGTTGATGCTGAGGCTGAGGCAGACAAAAAATTTCTGAAATCCTCTGAAAAAACTCTTCTTTGCTGAGAGAGAAACTTTGTAATACTCTGTAACCAACCCGTCTCTGAAACACTCAGCAACATGGCCTCTTCTTCCCGTCCAGCTACCCAGAACATGGCCTTCTCGTCCCCGTGGTCTGCTCACGCTCTTCCAGAACTGAACGAGTCCACAAGAGAAATAACTGGTGCGGTGGCTAGTGAACCTCAACCAAACCCTCTGGTTTGCTCCGTTGAACTTTCCGATGCGGTCGGTGGGAGCAAAAAATGGCGGTGGCAAACTGATATTGAGGCCAATCAGTATACTCTGAAGTCATGTGTGGAAACCATGACTGGCGGTCACAACTCGTCGCACCGGCTGCAGAGTAGGACAAATGAGGTGCAAACAGTTAAACTCCCAGCTGGCTCTGCTCCAACGCATGTATAAGGATGCGCGAGCAGAGATAAGTGTGCTAAAGACAGAAAAAAGGAGCTGAAGCGGAAGGCCACCGTGATGTTCCGATTGGAGGTCCACCATATGCTGTAGTGGAGGAGCAGGGAGGAGGCAACTTGCTTGGTGGTCTAGGAAGCACGGAGGCAATACCGTCAAGGGCCGGCCAAGACAGAGGCAAGAAGAAGAGACCGGCTGTAGAAGATAAGAAAGAAAAATCCCGCCTGTGGGTGTGGGCGTGTTTTTTTTGTTTGTTTTGTTGTTGTTGTTGTTGTTGTTGTGTTTTTTTTTTTTTTTTTTTTTTTGTTTTTTTTTTTTTTGTTTCTTTTGTTTTTAATGTAAAATTGTAATCGGGGTTGATCCCCGGCATGAAGAAATGACAAGTGTTTTTTTTTTTATATATAAAAAAATATATATATATATTCTATATACTCTAGTGGGATGAATGATGGGTTGTATGAAAAGATGGGAACAAGCCCATGTGGGTTAGGGAATGGCGATGATAATGTTTTGTGGGTGGTGAAAAAAGTAGAGTGAGAGAGAGAAAATTTGTTTCCCTGATTTGAGAGAGAAATAGTAAGGGTAATTGAAACCATCAAACATTTCACGGCAAACAAAGGACTCGAATGCATAACATTTGTGGTTTGCGTTGCAGTAACGAACACCCGGTTCAATTGTGTTGGCTGCTGCATCTAAATTCCACCCGGCCAGTTCCATCTCATTGATCATCAACCTGGCAAAATTCCGAATAGATTTGGTTGCCTGCTGAAGAACGACAATGAAATGGTTGGGGCTCAAGCCTGACAGGTGAAGATTGTCAGGAACGGATATCAACCCACTTGAGTTCAATCTCTTTTCAAGCAACTTATTCTCTCTGTTGGCTTCCTCCAACTTCTCCTGAAGAAAAGTGATTTCAGAGTTCTTGAGCTTAAGCTGAGAGTCCAGCTTCTTGCCCATAATTTCATAGCCACAGCAGTAGGGGCCAGCCACAGCATCCAAGCAGGACCTGCACACCAGCCCCACCGTCTTCACCCTCCTGAATCCTTGAATTTCAGAGAAGGAAAAATGGATCGGACGAGTTGGGTAAGGACCCGGGGACTCCACGGGTCGAACTCGGCGGCGATGAAATGGAAGAAGTTGTTTTCGGGGCAGGAGGCGTGGCATATATAGAGTGCAGCTCCAAGACGCAGCAGAATGTGAAGGCTGTCTTTGATGTTGCAATCAAGGTGGTTCTACAGCCTCCAAAACCAAAGAGAAACAAGAGGAGAGGAGAGCTGTGATGTTGTGGGCATTTGTGGTGGTGGTGAAGATGAATGAAGGTATGTGTAGAAAATTTTAGCGGACTAGGTTGAGGTCCGGCGGGCAGCCAAGGCGAAGTTGCCGCCCGCCGGTGAAGCAAAAATACTAGGTTCTAAACCTGCTATGATACCATGTTAAAATTGATGTATAAAGAGAAATAGAGAATTGTATTATTGATGGATATATTTTGATTGATTATAATGATTCATGATTCCTATGTATAGAAGAGGGTGAGTGTGTAGTAGGTAAGGAGTAGGTGAAGTGGAGGTGGTAGTGGTGTAGTGGGTTAGGTTTAGTGGAGTAGGTGAGGTGGTAGTGGTGTAGTGGGTTAGGTTTAGTGGAGTAGGTTTAAGTGGGTGAAGCAGGTGATAGGTTTTAACACTAAGCATAAAATAAAAAATAAAAAAAAAATCTAGTGAAATGAGTTTTATCTCTGAAGTAGAAGGAAAATATTGTTTCAACTGAGATACGGTACGGCTTGAATATATACTGGATACGTCAAAAATTAAGAAGAAAAAACTTGGGTACGTGTTTCGTGTATCTGGTACGTATGCAGAAGTACTATATGAGGTACGGTACGCCGGTAAGTACCCGGTACGGGTACGGCAAGTTTTTCAAAGTACCCATGCTTCATAGCATATAAAGATCTGGGAAGCCTAAGGTGTGAATATCACACAATACTTGCTACAAAATATAGGAAGCTCAAGGAAGAGTAAATTCAAAGAAGTGGCGATATTTAAAAATTGGCATGATTTCAAAGAAAAACCGATAAGAACCATTCATAATCATATTTCTAGTATTATTAGAGTCTTATTTTATGATTAGATTAAATTTTTTAAGATTTTTAGGCCAAGGGAATTTTGGTAATTTTCATATTTGCTGACATGGACTGTAGGAAGCCCATTGGTCGTCTTATGGGTCAAGTTATTTAATTGGATTTTATTTATGTTTCTTATTTGGTCTTCAATTGACTTCGAAGTCCAAAGATATTGTAGTAGTTTCATTTTTTATAAAGTTATGTAATACTTCTAATTCAATAGAGTTGATATTTTAGAGCATTTTCAGAACTTTTGAAACTTTTTATGGATTGTGTGATGCCTAAGGAATTCTAGGAGTGATTCCTATATCTATCTTCTTCTTCTCCTTCTTTCCCTCTTTTATTTTCTGCACTTTTAACAGCCCAAAACACTGTTCACGAATCACTGTTCACAGCCTCATAACAACAACCCCTAAAACATTGCCACAGTCTCATTTTATTATACTCAAACTCTTACCCCTTTATCACCCAACACAAACCCTTCAAAACCCTATATTCTTACTGCGATTTCGGCTATAAACCCAATTAAAATCAGCCCCAAAAGCCCAGATTTGCTGCTGCCCCTAATCGTCCTACATCAATACTTCTCTCTCATGTCATGTTAAGGCATACATTAGACCTGATATAATACTTGAGTAATTATGAGAAGATTGCTCTCTTTCATGATTATTGTTCAATTAAAATCGACTGCAAAATATTGACTCCAGCCCATTATCTCTATAACAACAGGATTTGCACATATATTATCTCTTGATAATTATGACATTATTTTCAAGAGAACGCCTACTTCGCAGTTAAGCAACAATTCAAGAATAACAAAAGCTACGAAAGCCTTTGTACAATATAATTTGCTGGAAATTGTGTTCATGCATATAATATGATAGTGGTGTTGATGGTAGATAGTGGATGACAGTGGGTTTACCTGTTCTATTGTACGTTTCTTTACAAGTCTAACGCCTAGGCAGAAACGTCGAGCATCGCGTACTGACAAAGAAATCTGATTAGTTCCCTTGCGTACGTAAGATGCAATCTGACAAGAAAAGGTAGGCTTAGAATTAGCCTCACATTCATGGACCCTTCAATTCTGCTTACAATCAATACAAAGGTAAAAGAAGGTAAATGTGTGACACCCACATAATGCTTAGCCAGATATTAATGAAAACATTAGCATCTCTAAGACTATATTTCAATAAAGAAATTTTCTTGCATTTTCTTTTTGTGTCAAGATTCCACTAAAGACCAGGGCAAGCGAAGAGAACAGAGAGGAGACTCACCATTGGACCATCATCACGGCCATTAGCTCCTAACAACTGTGATTCAGGCCTTTTGAATGTTTTTACTTGAACACCTACAATTTTTTATTAGAGCAGACGTAGATAGAATCAATATGATTTTATAACATTTACTTTATTAATACTATGAAATTATAACAAATTTCTTGAAATGTAAGTCCATCGGGACATCATCCCACTTTTCTAAAACAGAGTTTGGCCAAGTTTTCTTCCCCATAAAGTTGGGTTCAGACCAATCAACTCTTTTGAACAGGCCTCAACAGGCTGTGTTGTTCGGACAATTTTGAGCATCATAGTTTCAGTGGTATCTCAAGAATCCTAAAATTGGAATTCAAAGAAAACCAAAAAAAGAACCTTAGCCTAATTATAATATTTAAAAAATTTTGTTTGGAAGATCTTAGGGCAAAGCCTTTTTTAAGTTAGTTTTTAAAAATATAATCTATGCATACTAGCTGGTCCTATACAAATTTACACATATCTAATAGTATTTGAAGGATCATTAAGTTGCATACCATTAACTTGTAGATTTGTATACAGTGGCCATTGCATCCTAAATGGAACTTTATCATTAAGATGAATACACCAAACCTGACCACAAGAAGCAACAAAAAAATTACCAAAAATTAATGACACATCCACCCAAAATGCAAGACCACACATTATCAATGAGAATAATTGAATCTGGTAAGTTAAACAATTTTAACCAACCTGAACATCATATTCCTTATTCTGTAACAAATCCATATCTTCACTTACAAGATCAAATGCTTTTTCCACATAATGTGGGCTGATTGCCCTGGACAGTATTGAAAATGAAATTTAAAAATCACAGAACTGTAGTAAACAATATCTAAACACAACAAAATGACATAAAATATATAGGTCTAACTTTACGTGAAAAAGTCTTCTGTTGAAGAAAAAAGAATGAGAACAAAGTACCATGCAAACTGACAAATATGACCACTGCTTGTATGCATACCGCACACAAAACAAAAACACAAAATTCCAAGAAAATAAAAATAAAAAATGTTATAGCAAAAACCACCTTCTCACACTCATAATATTGTCAACTTTTTTGAATGGGCAATCCAGGTCAATTTTGATATTGGTGAATTTTTAGGCACAGGTGAAAAGAAGTTATGTGCAATTTGTCCCTACCATGTGGGATTTTTCATGTTAATCTGCAATTTTGCTTCTTCATTGCACCAATAACAACATACATTCAAAACTATAACCAAAACTATGCAGAAATGCAGCAAGGTTGATAGTACATTAACTTAAAATATATATATATATACATACATACATAAGTAAAGGCGTTGAACTCACTCAGTAGAAATATTTGAAGTAATCAGCTTGACAGGAGATAAAGGTTGTTTCACAGTCACCAAAAATCTGTCATGAAGAAACATTCAGAATCAGAAAACCCACAAACTAGTGTTGCCATTATAAACGAAAACCATGAAAATGAGGTCACAAAAAATACACACAAAAATTCAAACCAGTGAAGCTATACCAGGAAAAAAATACTTAATCATATAAACATAGATCAAGTATTTTGTGAATATCATATTTTTTTTTTTTCAGATGAAAACATAGAAAGACAAGAAGGGTCTCAAAACAAACAACAGATTAGAGGGCTAATCCCTCTCAAAATGAGCTCCAGTCATATCATCTATGACCAAAGCTGTTACTGTTTCTGGGGGATCCCCCAGAAGCACCACATGTTCATGTGCCACTCCTATGTTTGCCAATCAATCAGCAACTCTGTTTCCTTCCCTCAGTGTGTGACTCAGTGTACAATTACATCTTTTCATTAAGAACTTTGTACCTTCTATGATGGCCTTGTAAGGAGAGTTATGGCTTGGCCCATCTTGAATTAACTTGATGGCTTGAGTGGCATCAGTTTCAGAATATCATATGTTTATATATATATGTAAAAATATCTCCAATAAAATTTTGCTCTGATGAGGGTTTTCTCTACACAACTGCCGGATGTTTACTATTTCTTAATGATAAGTCACCAATTTTTCAAAAGCTTAAGCTATTAAGAAACAGACCCAACAATTTATATTGAAGCTATGCAGCACAATCCCTCACACGTGCAACCCCATCTTGCACGTGGAAAGACAAACAGAAGAGCAAACAAACAAACAGAGAAAAAGAAACCAAACAGGGATCAAATACTAAATGCCAATAGAGAGACTTGAATCCAAGACCTCTCTCAACTTGAGCTTTGATACCATGAAAAGTCACCAATTTTTCCTAAAGCAAAAGCTATTAGGAAATGGGTCCAGCAATGTATATTAAGCGATCAAACTCTTACATAAGAAGTAATAGCACCCATATCTCAGCCTTAGAAGCACAACATCACCAACCTAATTTTACTCAAATAGCATCTTTTCCAATTTTAGATTGAATTTGTAGTCAAGATGAAAGTCAGCATATTATTTTAGAACCACTAGATTTCTTTTGCATTAACTCCAACCTGTTCATCAGTCCTAACTTTTTAATACTTTTCCATCATGTTGCTTTTTAAGTAATTAATTTTAATGATTATAGTATTTTTGTAACGCAAAGATCAAATCTTAAAATAATCAAGTACGCTTCCTTTTTGCTCATGCAATCTGTTAAACTATTGATAGGCAAGACCTGTGGGATGAATTTTAAAAAATGACTATAATTGCTCAAAAGCTTCTTAAAAGAGATTTGAATGTTGTTTTGTCACCAGAAGAGCTGTTCATAAAGGTGCTATCAAAAAGCTGTTATGATATATAAAAACAAACGAATCAACCCGAATAGCTCTAAATCCCAGCCATAAAAAGGATCGAAAATTGTATATGATAGCCCAAATCTATACTATTATAAAGTTTGAGCTGGTGTTGACACAATGTGATATTTTGATTTCCAAAAATGCTTCTAGCCTATTTAAAATACAAAATTGTATAGAGGAGGTTAGGATTCGAAACCAAAACCTTCGATCTGGTAGACAAGACCCTTACCATGTGAGCAACACACATGTGCTTTTAAATCAAAATCAAAATTTATGGCCTAGTTTGGTTTGTATTTGTAGAGTAGTTTTTGAGATAAAAAGTACGAAAACTTGTTTGGTTTGCCTTTTTTCAAAAATGGTTTTGAAAAATTGTTTTGGGGAGAGACTTTTAAAAAAAGTGATTGATTTGATGTGTATGAGAGAGAGTGATTTTGGAAAGTAGATAACCAAACCAAATTTTGAATTTTTTTTTGAAAAAATTTGTTTGGTTTGATTACTCTTGAAAATTTGTTTGTAGAAAATTTTTCCCAAAAATTTTTCTGAAAAACAAACCAAACAAGGCCTATATTTTTCAGATCTAACAGTACACCTATCGGCTGGGCAGACACCCCTAGTAAAATATATAGAAAGGGGCAATTAAGTCTTTAACAATAACTGGAACAGTTGCGTGAACAGTGAACAGTACCATGCTACAGAACTTTGTGAAAAAGTACTCTTCATTATCCTATCCACAAATACTAGGTGCTATAATTTTCTCTTAATGACAACAGGCTCAATAACAGAATGATGTTATACCCAAAAAAAGGATGACATCAAATTAAATTGCCTTAATGGAGATACACATGACGCAAGTCATAAAGTTAGAATAGTATATTATTAGTTGGGTTACTATTCGATTGTAATTATTCTATGCCTTAGGGTTCCCTTGTAATTATTAATCTTCATTAATATAAAAAGGGGATGATATCACAATCATTCACTAATCCTTTTCTATTATCTAAACCTACATGGTATCAGAGCCAACTCACCTCATTCTCTGTTAGCCACCCCAACCTCAGCCGACTACCGTCTCTCATCACCCAACACCAGTCGACGCCTCTTCTCTCTTTTCCAGCCTACCTTGGCTGATTTCGGGCCACACCCATGTCGTTCTACCGGTCGCAGCTCACTCGCAGTGCTTGGGTAAGATTTCCGACTCACACTCTATTCTCTTCTAGGCCTATCGGTAGCCCTAGATTACTCTTCTAGGGCTGTTGACCCTCCTAGCCATCCCGTAGCACCCTTTCGGTCAACTCCTTGCCGACTCCGACTCTCTTTGTATCGACTGGTATGACCCTGATGACCTGCCCTCTCGTTGTTTAGTATATACTGTAACCTTATTCTTTGTTTTTTTCAAAAAAAAAAAAAAAAAAAAGGAGCAATAAAGTGAAAAAAAAAAAAATTTGTTGATGAGTTTTTTAGTTCTTTAAATTTTTTTAGTGGTCATTGTGCTTGTATTCCTCCACCTTCCGGGTTTGTGACTGGCACTAATTTTATTGAGGGTTCGGTAGTACAGTATCTATGGCAGATTCCACTAGTGTGTCCACTACTTCTCAAACACTTGAGTTCCATTATACCTATTACTGTGACTGATAACCCCAACCCTAGTCTTAAAATCACCACCTCTCCATTTAATGGTCAGAACTATCTACCATGGTCGCAAAGTTTGACTATTTTTCTGAAGAGTAGAGGGAAGATGGGGTATGTTGATGGCAGGATACAGGCACCCAGCACCACTAACCCAGGTTATGACCAATGGGAGATCACTAACTCTTTGTGTGTTGGCTGATTCATTTGATGGTACCAGAAATTGGTAAGGGCTACTTGTCTATGGAGACTGCCTAGGATATTTGGGATGCTGTGGCTACCACCTATTCCCGTAAAGGGAATTTTTCACAGGCATTTGAGTTACGCTGCTCTATTGAGAGCTCTGTTCAAGGGAGCAAACTGTTCTTTAATACTTCACTTTCCTCACTAACGGCTGAAAACGCCTTGATCACCTGCAGGACTATAAGCCTGTTTACACTGCTGATTCAATCGGGTACCAGAAGTTCATTGCACAGGAATGGTCTTCAAGTTTTTGGCAGGTCTCAATGTGGAGTATGATCCGGTTCGGAGTCGAATTCTGGATATAGACACTTTTCCTTCACTTCAGGAGTCATTCGCCTGTGTATAGAATGAAAAGAGTCGCCGGTCTGCTATGATGTCACCTATTTCTACTGACCGCTCCGCATTACTATCTACCCCTAGAGATGGCCTCAACCTGACTCCCATTCCTCCATCTGCCGCCAAGGAGTCTGTATTCTGTGATTACTGTCGCAAGTCGCAAGTCGCGGCATACTAATGAGACGTGTTGGAAGCTTCATGAGACTCCATCTAGAGGTTAAGGTGATCGGTCTGGTTCTCGAGGAGGTCGGTCAGGCTAGTCTAGAGGATGTGGCTCTCATCCACAGGCTCATCAGTCTAGTGTCGTTGATACACTTGATTCTACTTCCGCTTCCGTTGGCTAGAATTTTGATGGTCTCTCTGGCATGACTACTCATGAGCTTAAGGATATTCTGCATCACTTGCTGGATTGCCGGTCTTCTACTGCTCTCAGTGCATCTTCCTCATCGTTTGCCCGCTTAGGTAACTTAGTCTCTTCTCCTCGTCTTTTCCTTTCTCATAAGTCTTTGCCCTGAATTATTGATTCTGGTGCCTCAGATCATGTCTGGATCCTCTGACTTTTTCTTTGCCTATAAGCCCTTTTCAGGTCAGGACAAAGTTAGGATTGAAGATGGTACTGTTTCTTCTATTTCTAAGAAAGGTTTAGTTCACGTTACTCCTATCATACCTCTATCTTTTGTTCTCCATATCCCCAATTTTTCTGTTAACCTGTTATCCTTGAGTCGTATTACAAAGGATTTTAATTGTAGTGTGACTTTTTTTTCTTTTTTTTTTCCTGATCATTGTTTTTTTCAGGACCTTGTCACGAGGACGATGATTGGCAGTGGTAGTGAAAAAAATGGTCTCTACTTCCTGGATAAACCGGACAAGCTTGCTCATTCTTCCACCATGAGTCCTATTACCAAAGCTAATTTATGATTGTCACATCGACGTTTTGGGCATCTGTCTTTTTATTTAAGCATTTATTTCCATTTGTTTTTGCAAACAATAATGTATCGGAGTTTTTTTGTGAGTCACGTTAACTTGAAAAACAACACAGAGCTTCTTTTGCTCCCAGTTTTAATAAAAGTTTAATTCATTTTTCATTAATACATTTTGATGGCTAGGGTCCATCTCGTGTTATGTCTGTGAAAGGTCATTGATGGTTTATTACATTTATTGATAATTTTTCTCGTACTACTTGGGTGTATCTCATGAAAGACGAGTGAGATTTTCTCTGTGTTCTGCAATTTTCATAAGATGATTTGTACTCAATTTAGGCCACTGTCAAAATCTTTCGTTCTGATAATGGGAGTGAATACATAGATTCTGGATTAGGGCAATATTTTTCTGCTCATGGCATTATCCATTAGACCTCTTGCACTAATAATCCCTCAACAAAATGGGGTTGCGGAACGCAAGAATCGTTATCTTCTTG